CTTTTCCTGCTCCTTGGGCCAGCAAGAGAGGGTTTTTCCTAGAGCTCCTTCTTTCTCTATCCAATGAGCATGGGTTTTGGGGTTGCTTTTGGATCCAGGCTGGTCAAAATTGGAGAAAAAAATGATGATTTCTTGCCAGTTAAGTGGAACTTAAAATTGTACTTTCTTCAATTGCTGTCATTTATTTACTTTCACAGTCTTCAAGTATTATGGTATGCATTTTATTCAGGACTTACAGTTGCATTTAGAGGGGAAGAAGGGGTGGAATGCATTGATTGCACCTTTTCTGGATCCAGAACTTGTTCAGGATTTTTTTGGTACCAGGGATTGAACTCAGGGACACTTAAGCACTGAGCCACATCTCTAGCCCTTTTTTGTATTTTATTTAGATACAGGGTTTCACTGAATTGCTTAGAATCTTGCTAAGTTGCCAAGGCTGGCTTTGAACTTGTTTTCCTCCTGTCTCAGCCTCCTGAACCACTGGGATTACAGGCATGCACAGAACTTGTTCAGTTTTGATGGTAGATTGTGTTTTGTATATATGCCCGAATTTTGCCATATTAACTAACCTGTTTTTCACCTTTGCCTATTGTTGTTTGGCGATCCATAAAGATATCAAGTGGTAGTAGTAACTGCTAAAGGAAAAAAAAGTACTGCTTTTCTCTAAAGTAGGAGCAGACTAGTATTGGAGGAAGAGTGCTGTTGGGGAATTAAGAGGTGAGTCAGGCCAGTAACTAACTCTGTGACCTTGTACAAGTAGTTAACAGTGTGGATCCTCCACTTCCTCCATAAACAGTTAGTGTCATGAACTGTACTTCTGTGATTCTTTGACTGATAGCTGAGAATTATTTTCCTCTCAGCTAGCTTAAACTCTTACGATTCTTTTCCTGTTGGATTATATGTTCTGGGACTAGATTTAAGCCTTTTCTAATTTTTTTTTTTTTTGGTAGAATCATTGAAGTCTTTGTAGAGAAGTAGAGAAATGTTATTTTTTTAGCAGAGAAAACTTTTTTTTTTTTTTATGGTGGTGCTGGAGATTGAAGCCAGGTGTCTTGCTCATGCTATGAAAGAGCTTTGCCAATGAGCAACACTACCATCTCTTTTTATTTTATTTTTGAGACAGGGTTTGTGTTAAGTTGCCCAGGCTGTCATCAGATTTGTATTCTTCCTGTCTCCCAAGTAGCTGGTATAACAAGGCATGCGTTTTAGTCAGCTTTTTTGCTGCTTTTACTAAAAGCTCCAACAAAAACAATGTTAGAGGAAGAAAAGTTTATTTTGGGGCTCATGGTTTCAGAGGTTCTCAGTTCATAGACAGCCAACTCCTTTCCTTGGGGTTCGTGATGAGGAACATTGTGTCTGAAGAGTGTGATAGAGGAAGCTCAAGAGAGCAAAATATATTCCTCAAAGGCATGACCCCAATGACCCACCTTTTTCAGTCATACCCTACCTGCCTTTAGTTACCACTCAATTAATCCCTATCAATGAATTAGTTCACTGATTGGTTACGGTTCTCATAACCCAATCATTTCACCTCTAAGCTTTCTTGCATTGTCTTACACATGAGCTCTTGGGTAACACCTCATATTCAAACCATAACAACATATGACAACATGCTTGATTCATTTTTCTTTTTTTTTTTGTGCTGGAGATTGAACACAGGGGTGCTTTACCACTGAGCTACATCCCCAGAACTCTGTCCCCTGCTTTATTATTTGTTTTGAGACAGGGTGTAGTTGCCCAGGCTGGCTTAGAAGTTGGGAACTTCCTTCCTTTGCCTCCCAAAACACTTGGATTATTTTTGTGCACCACATTGCTGGCTATTTTTATTTTCTTAACATTATTGAGGTATAAAATACATACAATAAAATATGCCTATTTAAATGTGAATTTTAGTTTATTGAATTCTGAGAAGTGCATATATGCATCACAAACATTTATGTCACTCCAAAAGGTTTCCTTCCATCCCTTCGAATCAGTCCCTATCCCTGCCCTAAGTCAGGTCATCATTGATCTCTTCTTCATTAGTATAGGTCATGTTTGTGTTTCTTAGAGTTTCATATAAATGAAACCATACAGTATGTACTCTCTTGTGCTTTCTTCTTTTGCTCAGCAGCATGTTTATATTGTGTATTGGTTTATTCTGAGAAGCTTTGTATTATGTGAACACACCATTGTCCATTCACCTGTATATAGACATTTGGCTTGTTTCCAGTTCTTGGAAATTATAAATGAAGCTTCATGGAGCAGATGAGTTTTGGAGAGTATATAATTTTCATTACTCATGTGTAAATTCTTCTCTTAGGTAAATACTGAGCAGATTTGCTGAATCATACGCTAAATGTATGTTTAACTTCATAAGAAACTATCAAACTATTTCCCAAAGTAGTTGAACCATTTTTATTCCTGTGAACAACTTCATTGATACTTGGTATGTCTAGTCTTAATTTTAGCTATTCTAATGGTATGGAGTGGTATCTCATTGTGATTTTAATTTTCCTTGCTAACTAATGATACTAAACATCTTTTTATGTGCTTATGGTTATTTGTGTATCTTTTTTTGGAAAAGTGTTTATTCAAATCTTTTATCCATTTAAAAATAATATTGTCTTATTGAGTTGTATAATTTATATATTCTGAATACAAATCCTTTATCAGAAATACATTGTGATTATTTTTTCTTCCTGTGGCTTATCTTATTTTCTTAATAGTGTCTTTTCAAGAGTGAAAGTTTTAAATTTTATAAAGTCGAGTTCATCGAGTTTTTCTTTAATTCCTTGTTGTGTGTGAACTCTGATTAACCTAAGTTCATAAAGATTTTTTCCTTTTTTCTCGAAGATTTTTAGTTTTTGCTTTGGCATTTAGTTATATCACCTATTTTTTTTTTTCAATTTTTTTAGTTGTTGATGGATTTTTATTTTATTTATTTATTTATATGTGGTGCTGAAACTCGAACCCAGTGCCTCACACATGCAAGGCATGCACTGTACCACTGAGCCACAACCCCAGCCCATATCATCTATTTTGAATTAATTTTTGTGTATTGTGTGAGGGTAGGATTGAGGTTAATTTTTACCCTAAATAGATATGTAGTACTATTTGTTAAAAGACTATTCTTTCTCTTGTGGAATAACTTTGGTTGTTTGTTGAAAATCAGTTGAGCATAATTGTGTGGGTCTATTCTTTTTTCTTTTTTTACTTATCAATGGACTTTTTAAATTTGTTTATATGTGGTGCTGAGAATTGAACCCAGTGCCTCTCACATGCTAGGCAAGTGCTCTATCACTGAGCTATGACTCCAACCCTGTGTGGGTGTATTATTATTTTTTTAAATATGTTTTTAGTTGTAGATGGACACAATATCTTTATTTTATTTTTATTTATTTTTTAATATGGCGCTGAAGAATGAATCCAGTGCCTCACGCATGTGAGGCAAGCACTCTACCATTGAGCTACAACCCCAGCCCTATGGGTCTATTCTTAAGCTTTCCATTTTGCTCCATTATTCTTTGTTTGTCCTTATGTTTAGTTCCACACTGTCTTGATAACTGTAGCTTTGTAGTATTTCTTGAATTTAGGCAGTATACATTCTCCATCTTTACCCTTCTCTCCCATAATTATTGGGCTGTTATGGGTCTATTATTTTTATTTTTAAAAGCTGTTTATGACACTAATAGTCATATCCTCTGAGGTTGGTCTATTATTATTTTCCTCATCTTGTTTTCCTAGTATATTCAGTGTTCTGAGATGATTACTGTTGGATAGATGATTACTGATTAATCTGAGAACTGGATTCTCTCTCCTAATTTCTCATATTTTGTTGAGTTGAACTATCACTGTGACTATATTCATCTGATACATTGTTGAGCTATGTTGAATTTAAAGCAGTTGAATAGAAAGTTTCTCTTTTATTAAGCTTAGGCATAGTATGTCTTTTCTTATTGCTTTAAAGATTGAGCAAAAATTTGTGTTGAATTAGTCCCTAAGATATTGGTATACTAGTGATGGACTTTACATATTGATGTTTCTAAGTCTTATTTTGCTTCATTTAACACTTTAAATTTTTGTTTGTAGCCTTTCCAGAAATTCACTTGGACGTTTAGCAGACTTTGCTTTGTTTAGCCAAACTAGATTGAGCAAACGTTGAATTCTTAAAAATCATTTAGAATTAAAAAAAAATCTTTTATTCTACTTTGTTATATATGACATCAGAATGCATTACAATTCATATTACACATAGAGCACAATTTTTCATATCTCTGGTTGTATACAAAATATATTCACACTATTCATGTCTTCATACAGGTACCTAGGGTAATGATGTCCATCTCATTCCACCATCTTTTTTATTCCTTTGCCCCCTCTCTTCTCCTCCTTTCCCTTTGCCCTATTTAGAGTTCATGTAACCTTTCCATGCTCCTCCTCCCAACCTCACTATGAATCAGCCTCCTCATATCAGAGAAAATACATTAGGCATTTGTTTTTTTGAGATTGGCTAATTTCACTTAGCATTGTATTCTCCAACTCCATCCATTTACCTGCAAATACCATGATTTTATTCTTCTTTTATTGCTGAGTAATATTCCATTGTGTGTGTGTGTGTGTGTGTGTGTATAGCATATTTATCCATTCATCTACTGAAGGGTATCTAGATTGGTTCCACAGTTTAGCTATTGTGAATTGTGCTACAATAAACATTGATGTGGCTGTGTCCCTGTAGTATGCTGTTTTTAAGTCCTTTGGGTATAGACCGAGGAGTGGGATAGCTGGGTCAAATGGTGGTTCCATTCCCAGTTTTCCAAGGAATCTCCATACCTTTTTCCATGAGGCTGCGCCATTTTGCAGTCCCACCACCAGTGTATGAGTGTGCCTTTTACCCCACATCCTCGCCAACACTTATTGTTGTTTGTATTATCATTTAGAATTTTTATATGAGAAGTTATACAGGTTGTTTTGGTAGCAAAAAATGTGAACATCTCTGTTTAATGTCTTTCCAAATCCAGAGGATGCCAGCCCCCATCAGATTGCGGGAGCTGATCCGGACCATCCGGACAGCCCGAACCCAAGCCGAAGAACGAGAAATGATCCAAAAAGAATGTGCTGCAATCCGGTCATCATTTAGAGAAGAAGACAATACATACCGGTGTCGAAATGTGGCAAAATTACTATATATGCACATGCTGGGCTACCCTGCTCACTTTGGACAGGTAGGATGGGTTGGGCCACATCTAGCAAGGATACACATCTTTGAATGACACCATAGCTCAGGGAATGTCAGTCTTTTTCTGGCAGGGAGGTACTTTTGATAGCCTTTTAGTTTCTACTATAATCATTTTGGCACTGAGGGTAAGATTGAAAGAGCAAGCTGCAGACCTGGAAAGTCTTGATATAGCTATCAATTATCCTTTCCAATGGGAATTGCTCTTTATGTGGATCAGAGAGTCTTTTGCTACCTTACTTAAAAATTGACTAGGATTAATCAGTGATTTGTGATTATTCTGCCAGAGGACCTGAACTATGAGGAGTATGTAAAAAGTATTTGTTAATGTTTTCTTAGTTATTTTCTCTGTGCATGATATTATATATAAAAACTCATGAAAATGTTTTTAAATAAAGAAATTAGTTGCCAAGTAGTAGCATTCAGTTTTGTTCTAATTACCACATGTCTGGATTGCTACAACTTCTTTGTGGGTCTGCTTGCTGATTCTCTCCTACACACAAATACATGTTATTTATTGTATCTATTCTGGGGTTTGAAGGTGATATTCTCAGTGATAAGAGCTTTCTTCATGTTTATATTGCGAAAGCATGATTGTCACAGAATGGAATAGTGAGTTGTTTTTTAAATGTCTTATTAGCACTGCTAAATTTTATTTAAGAATTATATGCTGTAGAGTCTTATTAGGGAACAAATGAAAAATTAAAAGAATGTACAACACTAGGAAGAAGGAGTATAATAACCACTTATGTTTCCTTTTTCCAAGATAACTTGTATTTAATTATCAGGAAAGATGATCATCAGCTTATTTTCCATTTAGCTCAACAGCTTCAATTGAAGAAGATCTCCTGCCCACAAGTTAAAACTACAAAGTACTGGGGTTGAATCTTATTAGACTGGCTTTGGTTAGTGTTATGTTCACCATAGGGGGTTGATTAGCCTCTTTAGAAATAAATGATTGAGGGGCTGGGGTTGTAACTTAACGGTGGAGTGCTTGCCTCACTCGCTTCACATATATGAGGTACTGGGTTTGATCCTTAGCACCACATAAAAATTTAAAAGTATTGTGTCCATCTCCAGCTAAAAGTATTTAAAAAAAAAAAAGAAGGAAATAAGTGATTGTGTGTGGGAGGAGAGCATTAGTTCGAGAAAGAAAATTTGAGTTGTTATATAATATTATATTATATATTATATAATATTATGTTATATATTATAATATTATATAAGAAGAAAGAACAACTGGATCAGAGAAAGGAAGCAGAAAAAAAGAACAGTTATCTCCTATAAATAATATTCATTTACATGTTTGATTTTGGACAGAATTAGTGTTATAGTAGCATTCTTCTTCACACTTGTCATAAACAGTTTTTAAAATGTAATTAATACCTTCTTTGATATAGATTTCATATTTCATTCTTACAGAGAGAGGAGTGTAATTAAAGTTCAAGGTTTTAAGTTGCAAGGTTTTACCACATCTGAATTTGATCCAGGTGGTTATCCATATAGTGCATGACATTATATAAAGCAAATGGTTGCCTATATATTCTTGATGGTTTATATATATATATTTTTGTAGAAACATTTGGTTAGATTTATAGAAATCTTACATATTAGGAATTGGACTATAAAAATCAAAGGTAATCTAGTAGGGGAAGACTTATTCTTCCACTCAGAAATAATTACTATTAACATCTTGGAAACAGTATATTTATATATTCTCTGTAGAGTTCTTGAAAGACAAACTCTTGAATCTTCAGATCTTATAAGAGTAGGTTTAAGACTTTGGAAAAGATTTCATTTTGTAGAACATGTATATTTTTAAATATTGGTTTCTATAACAGTGAAATAAAATATGCTTTCTAGGTCTGTCTGGATTGCATTTTGGGGTATTTTGGAACTTTAATTGTTTGATAAAATACTTAATTTTTAGTTAGAAAGTGACTATTCAAGGAAGCTGTGCTAAAATTTTGGTACAAAAATAAAGATTTTTCTGAGTAGGGATAGGAATGTTAAGTCTCTTAGCCTGTTTCATCTGGTTGAATAAGTTATTGCCCTATTCATATGAGTAATTTGGTACCCAATCTATCAAGAATTTTCTTTATAATATGCCTGTAAAAAGGTTAATGTCTAAATACCTTGCCTGCATGTATGAATAGCAATGCCATTTTTGTTTTATTGTGTATTTCAGACACCTTTTAATTGCATTTTATTTGTTAGATAGACTATTCTTTATGGTAGCTAGTAGCTATATGTTGCCATTGATCTCTTGAAATGTGGCTAGTTCAATTGAGGTGGATATTGAAGGAAAATAAATTCTGAGTACTTGATTCGGTTTTGGAAAACTTTATGTTTTAAACAACTTGAATATGTGATTATACTTAATCAATTGTAAGTTTTATGAAATCTAAATACAGTTCAAGTATTTCTGACAAAAATATGTACAAATTGAAATGTGCTGTAAGTGTAAAAGTACATGCTGTATTTAGAAGCCTTAGTATAAAAAAAGTGTAAAAAAATCTAATTTTATGGTGATTATATATTGAAGTGATATTTTAGGTATGTTGGTTAAATAAAATATATTATTAAAACTAATTTCACCTGTTTCTTTTTACTTTTTACTGCAGTATCTAGTATGATGCTGTCAGTAGGAATAAAATATGAACCATGTATAAATTTTAAAATGTCTAGTAGGCATACTTAAGAAATCTCATTTACATTTTATAGTAAAACCCATGGTTGAAATTGAAATTTAGAGTTTAAACTCATGCAGCTAGTAAATATTAGTGAGGGAATTAGAACTAGCCTCGCACAACACTAAAATGCACTCTTTGGGTTTAGTTCAGATCTAGAAACAGCTATTTCTGTTATTATGTATTTTAATTCTGCCTTGCTGTACAAAAGATTTGAGATAGCATAAATTACTAGTGTCTGTGAAAAAGAAAAAGAATAGTACAAGGTTAAGAGTTGGGAGTGAAGAATTCAAAACATAAGGCCAGTATAGGGCCTTTTGGTAGGGAAGCCAAGGCAAGAAAAGATACAATCAATTCTGTGGTGGTTTTGTCAGAATTGAAGAGCAAGACTGTAGGAACCAGACTGCATGGATATGAATTCTGGCTCTGTTATTTTTCTGTCTGTATGACTTTGAGCAAGATCTTTAACCTTTCTGTGTTGTAATTTCCTCGTCTGTGAAATGGAGACAGTTCTAATGCCTACTTCATAGGGTTGTTATGAAGATTAAGAGTTACTCAATTTTTTAAAAAAATTTTTTAAACAATATCTTTATTTTGCTTATTTATTTTTTTGTGGTGCTGAGGATTGAACCCAGTGCCTCACATGTGAGAGGCAAGTGCTCTGCCACTGAGCCACAACCCCAGCCCGAGAGTTACTCAATGTTTGACAGTTACATTTTGTACATAAAAAACCTTTAAATGTTACCCATTTTATGATTTTTTATTCCAAGGATAGCAAACAAAGCTTTTCAAAGCACTGAAATCTAAAAGATTTTCTTATAAAAGATCTTTTATTTTAGGCATATCTTAGTAATATCAGAAGTAGCATCTTTATAGGGCTTGGTTTTATATACCTATAATCGTAGATGCTCCAGAGGCTGAGGCAGGAGATCTGTGAGTTTGAGGCCAGCCTGGGGAATTCAGCCAGATCCTATCTCAAAATAAAAAATAAAAATTATAAAAAAGGGCTGGTGATGTAGCTCAGTAGTAGAGCGCTTGTCTAGCATGCTCAAGATCCTGGGTTCAGTCCCCATTATTGACTGGAAGTTGGGGGAGAAGGAGGTAGTATTCTCAACATCATTATAACAGAGGCAATAATAGATTTCTAATAGGATGTGTACTCTTCGATGTGTCTGGACCAAACACAATCCAGAAATAAAGTTGAGCTAGGTAGATTGTAGGAGTAGAAAACTGGTGGCACAGTGGCCGAATTATTCCATATATGTGTTTTGTTGGTCTTGCATAGTCTTTAAAAGTGTTTTGAATTTACTAATATGTAAACTAAATTAAGGAAATTCTCATAGAATCTGGGTTTGTAGTATCTCTTAGAAAAATGAAAAGATTGTCTGGATCCACATTTCCACATGGCAGCAGTAGGCCGCTTACAGGTTGGGCAGCATTCTGTTCTTCCTGGTTCCAACCTGGCCTGCTGTCCCTTATTACTTGTGTATAAGAGTTATCTCTTCCATTAATGTAGTATAGCACTCCACTTCTTTAGGTTTTTTGAAACTTTATACAATATTCTACATAAAGTCTTATGTGTCTTTGGAGAAATTTATTCATAGGTTATACAGAGCTCTTGTTACCATTGCTATGAGTGTTCTTAAAAATTTTATTAATCATGTTCTAGATATATAACAATGTAATTGATTTTTATATAGTGAGTACTTGGTTCTAAGAGTTTCTGTAGATTTCATTTTTTTCCATTTTGTCAATATTATTATTTGTAAGCAGTGACAGTTCTCTTTCTTCCTTGTCTATCATTATATATTTTCTTCAAAAAAAAAAAGAAAGGAATTTTTTTTTTGGGGGGGACACATTGACTTTATTTTATTTATTTGTTAAAACCTTAAAACAAATGCTCTACATATTATGATTAAATCACAAAAAGGAATTTTTTTCCTAAATATTTTTATTTGTTGTTGATGGACCCTTATTTTATTTATTTATATGCAGTGCTGAGACTTGAACCCGGTGCCTCGCAGATGCTAGGCAAGCACTCTGCCACTGAGCTACAACCCCAGCCCCAGCACACAAAGGAATTTGATGTTGAATTTTATCAAATGCTATTTTTTTGTTGTTGAAATAATTTTTCATGGGTTTTCTTCTTTTAACCTGTTAGTGTAGTGAATTACATTAATAGATATTAATTGTGTAGTCTCCTTTGTATGTCTGAAATAATCTTTAATTGGTCATGATGGTTTCTTTTCTTTTATATTGCTAGATTTATCTTACTAATATTTTATATACTAAGAAAAGT